TTGATTAAACTTCGGGGGTCTATAGAAAAGTAGGAGGGGAATGCACACCTATGCCTCAGCACCTTTTCTTTTTCTTTTTCTTCAAATGTCTTCAGGGCAGATTTGGCTGGCTTGAGTTGTGGGGATCGAACCACAGCAACCTGAGCCTGACTGCTTTGTTGAAGCAGCCACTTAAAGAACTGAGCTAAGGGGCAGGCCTCCAACTGCACAATAATTTAAAAGAAATTGAAAAAGACAAAAATGGAAAAAAACACATTCCTGTATTAGAAGATCCAGTATTGTTAAAATGGTAATATGCTCCCAGCTTACCTACAAAAGTTTGATCAAAGTCCTCATTGCTTTTCTTGGTACATTAAGAGTAGGAAAATTTGTCATCATTTCTTTTTTAAAATAAAAATATTTGTTTGTTTGGTAGAGGGTTTTGCTATGTAGTTTGGACTCATAGTGATCCTCCTGTCTCAGCCTCCCTGGTGCTGGGATTACAGACATGCGCTACCATGCCTGGTTTCAGTGGCTGGCACAGCATGCTTGGGGTTCTGGGTCCAGCTCAGCATGTGGTAATAGGGATTGAATTTGGGTCCTTGAGCTTGCCAGGCAGGTGGTTAAGACCACTGAGCTATCTCCCCAGCCCCTCCTGTATACCTTAAATCATCTCAGGATTGCTTGTAATATCTAACACAATTTAAGTGCCGTGGAAATTCTCTGTGGTGGGGTTTAGGGAATAATGACAAAAATTTGTACGTATTCAGTATTTTACAGACATTTTCACTGGTTGTTGTGGAACCTGTGGATTACAGAAGGGTACTATTTATGTTTTTAAATCGTGAATGGTGTTGAACTATGTGTTCTGATTTTTATCAGTGGAGATAATAAAATAGTTTTCTTTTTAATCTATTAATATTCTAATTACCTTTTTAGGTGTTCTAATATTAAAATACCTTTCCATACTTAGATAAAATCAACTTTATCATAATATTTTATCTTTTGAATTGAGGTTGGTTTGCTAATGTTTTGAAATTTTGCTGCCGTTAGTAAGGTTTATAATTTTCTCCTTATCCAGGTTGTATGAATCTTTTAGCTAGATTTATATGACATGGAATAATTTGTTCTTTGAGAGTATTAGAACTTGCATCTAGATCTGTACAGATACTTCTGATCCAATTTCTGTAGAACAATTGTTAAAAAAATTGTCTTTAGAGATAATTTTGGTGTATTCATTTTTCTGGGAAGTTCATTTCTTTCAGAGTTTTAAGCTCAGTAGCATAAAGTTGTCCAAAAAAATTCTTTAGTCATTTTTATTTTCTCATATGGAGATTTTAAAAGTTCTTAATTCTGCTGCTTTACGCCCTATCTGTCCATTCTTTCCCCTGCCCTCCTTTGTTCTAGTGATTTGCCACTCAGGCAAATTTCCTTGATTTTTTAGAGAACCAGTTCTGGTTTTGTTGAGTCATTCTATTAAATATTCTTTCTCTATTTTATTTCTGCTTCATATTTTTAAGGATTTTTTTTTTTTTTTTGTTCCTCGAATGCCTTCAGGGCACTTTTGGCCAGCGGGAGAGTTGTGAGGTTCGAACTCCAGCAACCTGAGGCTGACAGTTTTGTGGAAGCAGCCACTTAAAGGCCTGAGCTAGGGCCAGGCCCCCCTCTGCTTCATATTTTTTCTTTTTGCATGTTTTATTTTTTTTCTAACATTCTTAACTGCTTGAGGTGGATTTTTAAATTTTATTTTTATTTATTTTTCCATAATTTTATTGATAAACAAATCGCAATGAGATAGTTTCAAATCAAATTGGTAGGACAGTTTCAATAATTAACACATTGCATACATTCTTCCTAGTGGTTAATTGCTGTACAAGATG